TGAGATTTTTGACATATACTGTGCTGTCATTTGTAAAAAGTGATGGATGAGAAACTGGAAACCTCAAGGAATTAGTAATAGGATATAAAGCATTTCACCTCTGGGTCACCAGTTCAAATTCAACCAGGTTGGTAGTGACCAAAAGTAGTTACCATCTGGCAGCTGTTCTCTGGCTGATGTAAATTGAGTTGAGGGTCTCAGCGCATTTCCTAGTGGACAGGTGTCCTCAGCACAAAAAAACACCATAATTAACTCTCTGTTTGGCTTGCTCAGCAAAGCCACTGAACAACGAATAGAAGAATGAGCTGTATTCCAGGTTAGAATGGAAGCATGTTGGCTGCAGAGCACTGCAGATTCTTAATTATAATTCCTCTTTATATTTTAAGACACACACAGATTAGGGAGGGATTTCATTCATCATCATTATATTAAACAGAGTAGCATTTCCAACTCAAGATAGAGTTTATGAGCTGCTATTTCTGCTCAATTCAGATTTCCTTTCAACATGAAGCTACAGCAGAGTTTGGAAGCACAATGAATGAATGTTAAGCATACGGATATTATTAAAAATAGTAAATTTACCTTAACAAACTCAATCTCAAATGATCCACACTTATTACAGAGGATAGGGACACAGGAAAAACTCCTGGATTTGGATTATTTCATACAAACATATTGGTTAGGATTATGCAACTTTGGAAAATAGAGGAGACTTACTGTAAAGAAAACAAAGATGTCATCCTTTAAGTCAACATCACCAATGAAAGAGATTTTGGAGAAGACTACTACCCACACTTTATTACAAGACTTTTTAAATGGACTTTGCACTCAAAAGTTTGACTCGTGACTCTCTTAAGAAACAAACAAGAAACAGTTTTAGGCAGAACTGCATGTGGCCAAGCTTCAAATGTTATGTGTGAAAAACACTGGAAAAAAAATTCACTTATGCCAAGTTTTCCTCAATAGGAACTGGAAAATTTACTGAGCCTACTTCTGGATCATCCATACTTTGCACAAGACATGGGACCAGTTGTGCACAGTATGACCTGCTGATAGGCACCATCTAAACCATCTGTTGCTGAAATTTTTTTGGCTCTACAATATCTAATATTGTTAAAATAGGTATAGTTTCTGGATGTCCTTGCTCATTTTGGCATTTGTGGAATAAAGGCAACTGAAACAAAATTAAAGCATTCCATATCATCAGTCTTACAAAACAGAAGGGTATTTCTTCAGCATAAGTGGTTTGTAGAGACTGAGCTGAGGACTACTGGTATTAAACAGAGATGAGTGTTAAAACTGCAGTTCTAGAGAAGAGCTGGAACTACTAAAAGCTGTGTTTTACCACCTTGGGTAAAACACAGCCAGAGCTCACAGGTTGCTAGAACACACATTTGGGGCTGAGGGGTTTGAGGCAGTTTAAGCAGTAGCTGACTTTGAAATGTTCTTAACACGCCTTCAGATAACATTAACTTTAAATAAACTTGCTGAATACTCATGTAAATTATTTCCATTTGGCTGTCTCATTATTCAATATGCTTTCAAGGAACATGGTGATGAAAGAAGAAAAATACCTCTTTCTAACATAACCATACTGGCAAGAGGATCAACATTATCAGTATTCAAAGAATGTCTTGGCAGGATAAACCTTTATAAAAAGAAGGAGCACTAGCTAATCCAAGTTGTCAAAATAGAATAGTACCTCAAGGGTTGATCTGCAAAGTGATTCATTATTTATTGCTAATGCAAACAAAACATTCTAAGCAGAAAGAGCAATTGAGTGTTTCCTATCTTGGAAAGGCACTGATGGAGAGTCCACAATAAAGAAATCTGAGGAGGAATAGAGAACATCTATTTTCTTATCCACTAAAAATCAACCAAAGGCTGGAAGAAGATTGTCTGATTTCTTTTCTGTGAAGAAACACACTTAATGGCAATCAATTTTTCCAAAATAACACAGACATGAAGTGTAGGAAGAAGAAAAAATTTCTGGAAATCTGATTCAAAAGCATAAGACACACACTTTTTGAAAAAAACTCAATCAGAAATGGTGGAAATTCAACATGAAATGTAGCATGTATCATAAAACCATCTATATTTCAACAGCTCAGTAAGAGCCCTGACTTGCCAAAATAAGTTTCTCCTGGAATCAATCAGGAACCATCTTCAGATGCCTAACCTCAGATACTTTATGTCAGCTTCAACATTACTGCATTCTTCTCCAGTAAAGCCAGGGCTATGCTTTCACAGAATCACAGAATGGTTTGGGTTGAAAGGGAACTTGCAGATCATCTGGTTCCAACTCCTCAGCCATGGGCAGGTTTCTCAAGACCAGCTGCTCAAACCCCATGCAGCCCACTATTTTGCTTCAACTTCATATAAAATACATTGATTAAAAACTGGAGGGATTTGGTTTCTCTGGGGGAGGGCTGTTTTTAGCTTTGTTTTCTAGTGTGGCTTTTTTTTTTTTTTAAGTATCGATTTTGTAATTTACTTAAAAAACTTCCTTGAAATACATTTTTATTTACACTTTTTTCACTCACTATCTTTTCTAGTCTTTCAATACATCTTTCCTTGTCTGCTTCTGTAATAGCTCATCTCTGCTATCTTCTTGCCCTTTTAAGCCCAGGAACCTGATTGTACCCTCAACGTGTATATTCTTCCATCGCAACAGAAAATACTGTTTCAGCCTCAGGAATTTGGGATTCTAAGACCTCTGAATAACCGCATATACAATTTGTCTTTTAAATGAGCATATTATCTATGAGCTACATAAAAAATAAAGCTATTCTAAGAAGTTTATTCTTTCTCCTACTACATTTCTAACAAAAATATAACACATACACAAATAAAATCATCAAGAACACTATTCAGCTGAGTATTACTATAGTACAAATATGCTGTAGTGTCTGTATGGAAAAAACACTTTCCTGATCCAAATTAGCAATTGTAATGACAACAATATTTAGCATATAAAGGCAAAAGAAATAAAGGATAATCACATTCTGTAATAAGGTAAAACAAATGTACCATTGACCTACTGCAAATTGCTACACACTGAAAATTCAGAATTTCAAATATTTTAAAAGGTGTGATACAACAGGTGACATGTCAGTTTGCACAGAATGCCAATGGCAGTAGAAAAACCAGAATCTGAATTCAAATTTTATGAAGTTCAGTTTTTAACTTTCAGACTATTTTAAAGCATCTCCACACGCACAGAAACAGACTACAGTTTGTCTACTTAGCCTTTAATTTTCCTGTCTCAGCAATGGCTCCTGAGCGACCTCTTGTGATGAAACATTTGAGCACTTTCTCACTTCTTTTCCTCTTTTTAAAAAATAAATTAAATGAACAAAAGGCTAGCAGTGAAAAATGAAGAGTACCAAAAAGCAGCACCATCTCTGTCATTGCAATGAATGGAACTTTTTTATCCATTCATGCAATCCCTAAAATTGGGTATTGAAGAATGTACCTCTGAAGCTAATAAGTGAGGTTCAAGAAAACCCCAGCGTGCAATGGCAACTATCATGCCACCCTTCACACCATTTTTGGAGGAAGGGTTGGGAAAAATACATGTAATCACCTTCTTGGACCTTACTGCCACTCCATTAAAACAAGCAGAGTAAAAACACCACAAGATACTCAATAGTTTGATCAAAGGGATGAAATCAAAATACCATAAAGAAAACAGCATTTGTGACTTGTTGAAGAGGGCAAAAACAAATCACCAAGAAAAAATTAGTTTTATTGACCAACATCAGTATTGTGAGCCACTGGTAGATATGTCAAGGAGCTCAATAAAATCTTGGGGGCAGACACCCCACAACATGTCTGGTTTCAAACTGTCAGTGATCTCAATGAATTAAGACTGCAAGTAGCTACTCTTTCTCAGCCTTAAAATACTAATTCTGTAGCCAGCTTTAGTTTTTCACAGTATCTACACAATGATATTTAAAAATACATATATAAATAAAATCAAAGCATGTTAAACAAGTCCAGAAGAGGAAGGGAAATCTGCTGTCATTTCAGAAAAGTACAGTGCCTTTTCATACTCCCACTGCAAAGGAACTGAAGTGTGAATGTTTGATTGATGGGGTAACTGATCAATTCTCAATGAAGGTGACAAATATCAATAAACAGCATTATTTTAGAACAGAAACAGAATTACTGAGGAATCTGGCCACGAGATGTCACTCTCTACTTTGTGGCAACTTGGAAGTTTATTAGCACAGCCTCCCTCTCGGAGGTGTAAAAAGCTGGGGTACAGCCAATGAAATCTATTATGTTAAATTTCTGTCAGGTTAAGGGGAACTGCTCAACATGTCATTTCTGTAGCTGTGATATAGAATTACCATTCAGTATGCAGTGAAGTCTACGTAACCACCAAGTAACCCCTGCATTCATCCTCCCAAGTTTAAACAAGAGCAAGTAGCTCAACTAAGTACTGTTGTTATAACTTGGTACTGTTCTTACACCAATGACACAGACTGTTTTGAACTTTCCAGCCTTTTAAAATAAAATCATTGTTATGTACTGAGCTCTTATGATTCAGAATACAGCAAGCTGCCTGTATGAACTATAGCTTCTATCCAGGTAGACAGTCTAAAATAGTAAGTTTTGCAAGTTTTTTCAGGTGGCTTTGGTTAACACTTTATCAGGTCCTGTGGTCTAGTAAGGTCTCACTTCTTGGTTTGCAAAACATCACCACCATATTTACTAACCACTAGCATGTAAAATAATTTTTATACTTCATATATATAACCAGGCATCTGTTGCAAGAGACCAAAAACACCTAAGCTTTAGGAGTTTAACATCAAAATCTGTAGCCATTATAAATATACACCTATGAAAGAAGAAAGTAAGTGGAAGACCAAAACAAAGCTATGATGAAAGAAAAATTTTAGGAATGAAAGATTTTGTGCAAGCACTACATGAACTGCATGGATTCATCAGAACCTGACTCTGAACATAGTTGACAGAAAAAACCTCATTATTACCTTATTATGTGTTAATGTTATCCTCAGGTCTGGTTTTATGATACCATATGCTGTCAGTAGATCTTGGACTTTTTTCAGCTCTTCCTTACATTTTCTGTTTGTTGAGTAAAACTGCTTTCTTACAGGAAGATTCTTAAACAAATTTAGGACTGTTACTGTAGTACCTGCAAGAAGGCGATAAAAAATAAAGTAGAAATTTACACTGAAAGCAAATCACTGACTGGATATTGAGGAAACTATTTTTACTTAAATAGACATGTTTGTATGCTGCTGCACTAAATCAGGTTATTAGCATGAGAAGAAATGCACCAAATTAGCAGTCATCCCCCCACAAAAGGTACCTCAAGACTTTTGATTCTTCTCCTTTAAATAAGAGTTGTGACTGCAGTATTAAGTTTTCTTTCATACACACTAACAATAGCAAAAATCAGCAGTAAATAAAGCTGAAGACTCTCTGAATGCATAAGTTAGCCTCCATTAGCAAAATGATTAATTAACAGACTAGAATCTAATCACACATATCTGGAGGCAAAGGAATGCTGTGCTTCATTAAGGGCCTTCACAAACATTTGCTTTAGGGTAGTACCTGAAGCTCCAAATACCTCCGATCAAGGTACAGTACACAGTAGGAGGAGGAATATTCATTTACCAACACAACCATGTAAATTCCTAGCCCATAAGGATATTGCAAAGCATTAAATATGTGAGAGAATTCAACAATTTCAATGAAAGACAAGGCATTAAAACCTGCAGGCTTTCCAGCTGTGGAAAACACTCTACAGGCTAAATCTTAAAATGAATCCTTAGTAAAAATTAGGTACGCACCCTTCCTGCAGGTTAGAAAGAACTGTGACTTTGCCTGGTCCTACAGTCATGCTGCTTCCAGCAATTCCTATGTATGGCAGCAGGGCATACATATGAATTTATTCTTCCTCCTTTAAGCAAGGATTTTGCTACATCCAGAAACTTTACTTTGGTCCCGAAGAGATTTTTAATATACTTACACAGACTTGGAGCATTTAATTTTTACAGGTTTTATTTCCACTGTCAGCTTGAAGAAGTGAGTCAGAGAAGGAGAAACTAGTTTATAATTACAATCTAAAACAACTTCCAAGACTTGTAATTTCTTATGCTATGACAACACATTCTCAGCTGACAGACACAAGGCAAGAAACGTTTACAGCTGCAAAGATTTCATACTCAGCCTCTAAGTACCCAACAGGTATTTCAACTCAGATAGAGCCTCAGAGAAACACAAAATACATCTGTCACCTTGCAACACCAGAACAGTGATAGCCTACCTTGCCCAAGATGGGAAGGCTTTTTAGAGGTTACATGTCCATTGCTATCCAAAGCATACTGAATGCTGAAATCATCAGCAGCTGTCTTTGTTGTGACCAAAACCTGAAGAGAGTGATTTTTAAAAAAAACCTATGTTAATCAGGGATAGACAAAGTTCAGTATGAGCTTAGATAAGCTTTGCTACCACACTCACCACACCACTGTATTACTTTAGTCACCATAATTACATTTAATAAGTTTATAAAATTTTTCTTGAACAGGTATTTCTTACAGGCACAGAAACACTCAGCATTATTCTGCATGTTTCCTGCCATTTAGCTAAAAGTATTTCTATCACATTGATTCACAAAGCATAGCAATTCCTACTACCTACAACACACAGTGCTCTATTTTCTATTCTAGAACAGATTAAATAAACTTTATTAATTGACAGGTCTGCATTTTTACCCTCTGTGAGACAAACACACTATGACAACTTAAACTCATGTGAGATTCCATAAACTTAAAGACTACTCTCAAACAAACAATATATTATCTTTCCACACCTAAACATACCTGGCAATCAGTCACAGCAAGTTTTGTAAGTTATTAAGGTAATTCACAGATTGATTTAGCAAGAGCAGTCATAAATCAGAGTTCAGTTACCAGCATTGTGAATAACAGAACCACTGCCCTTTAACTGCCTGGAAGGCAAAGTTTAACACACATAGAGTTTCAGGATATTTTGGTTTATTTTAGCATCTCACATGAATCATGCAGCATTCAGTCATGCCCCTGGAGAGAAAAACAATAATTGATTAACCGGGAATTACAGTATTGCAGACCTACTTAAGGGCCAATAGCAAAGTATCTTCAAACTGAAATTTCAGAGGGCTGTTTGGGTGGGCAGAATACAATTAATGCCAGGAGTGTTAATTAACATAATTACTGATACAAAGAGTAGTACTTATTAAAGCACTTTATACACTCAGGCCACCTCCCATCTCTTATGAAATGTTCCATAGAGCTGATTAGAAGCTCTGAACAGATGGCATTCTGCTCTGAGAGCTCATTAGAAGGAACCAATGATTGAGGTCTGTCATCATCTATCAAAACACCAACACTTTTGAAAGCATCTTTGGAAATCTCCATCCAAATACACAACCCACTCCTGCTTACTGCAATGTGAATGCAGCCCAAGGTATCAAGGAGTGAAGCTGTAACATCATCTCTCCTGACCTCAGCAGCTGATGGTTCCAACCAGACACAGGCATGGGTATCTTCCTGCATGATCTAATAATCCTCAGCAGACTTGCACCCAGAACTTGACCTTGGTGCAGCATGAATTCAGAAAGGGAGAGCACAAGAGATCTGGCAGATGCTGTGCCTTTAGCAGCCTGAACACTTTTCAGATGGTTTTGAACAAACATATTTACTTTCAGCCAACAAGTTAAGTCTCAAATGCCAGTACACTGCCAATCCTCTTAATACAAACATATGGCCCAGACTCAGATAGGTCAGGCAGCAGGTTCCTGTTTCCTCATAGGGACAAAGTTTGTGCAATTGCAGTCACATACATGTCAAAGAGCAATAAGGAGCTCAGCAGGATCCCGTATCTGCTGATCACCTAGATAACAAGGCAGAAATAATTTCTGAAATGGTGGTTATATAGGCCAGCAGTTCCCCAAAATTACTTCTCCTGGCCATCACCTGCTGCTCCTCTCTTGATTTACCCTAATTCAAGTAGCCATACTCTTTGACATGATACTCCTGGACACAAAAGGAAAGAGAATACAACACAATCCGTCTGTTACCTGTTCTGATTGAGCAAAATAAACAGAGGCCTGCTGTGACCTGTGCGACAGAAAGGCAAGACTGACACAAACAAGAAATTTGCATGACACGGCTTCTGGGGCTGGGGGGAAAAGCAGCATACACAAGCATATCCCTGGCAAGTTGCTGGAACATTTAAACTCTGCACAGAATAAAACTTTCATGATCACATACAGACAAGAAAAATTGTAACACAAAGGCTCCATATTTATTTCAAGTGCTCACTTCTGATATGCTGCAAATCGATCCCAAAGCTTCCCCACGGAAACCATATGTTGTCAGCCTTTCAAGGTCCTCAGAAGAGCTGATTTTTGAGGTGTAGTGTTTAATTGCCATAACTGGAACATCATCAACCTTAATTCCACTGCCATTGTCTCTTACTTCGATTTTGCTAAACCCATAATTCTCCTAAAAAAAGAACAAAACACAAAGGAGCAGTAAAACAACCACAATAATTAAGATGTAATTTTGAAGCAGCTAAGATTACAGCTTCTAACTATCCATACAGAAGTGGAAACTTTGCCTGTTTGGAGCAACTGAGCAACCATTAAATGTCACTGTTTAAGGAAAAAAGAAGAAAATTAAAAATACACCATGTTAGGATAACAGTAATGGCTTCTCAAATTAAATAACATAATTCATCTCCTGTGATTTGGAAACAAAACCTAAGCTCAAAAGGAGACCTATAGCTGGAAAACTGAAGATTTTTCACCTATTTACCTCTCTTACCTACTTGGTATCAATTTTTTTGAAGTCCCTTGAATGCAGCTCTGCATCCAATGAATTAAGTAGACCCTCACTTCACACCATGTTCAGTTTCAATTTTGATTGATGTGATTCCATTACATTTTCTAAATTCTGTTTTCCAAGCTCAGTACACAGAAGCTGAAATTCTAATGTGGGGTAAGACATGAATTGTAAGGGTAATAAGAAAGCTTATAAAGAGATATAGTATTTTACAAAAAGAAGTAAAGAGTCCCAGAGGCTCTTTTAAAACAGCCTTCAGGGAAGCAAAGTTCAATCTTTGTGATTTACCTTTACATACATGCAATGGATATTTTACCGAATTCCAATTTAAATATGTCATTCCAGTAAGCACCAGCATAAATAGGGTAAAACTCTGAAACCTAGATATTTACAATAGCTAAATAAAAGATGAAATTTAGGTTCTGTAACATCTCAAACAAATGCAGGAAAAAATTATTCTTTCCAGCTACATTATAGCCTGCACTAGTGAGCAGCACCCAGAGGAACTACAAAGCAGGAGGAGAAAGTAATCAGAGCTGCAGGATCACTAACTAAGCTTCTTTCACAGAAGCAAGACTGGCTCTTTGAAAGATTATGATGCAACACACAAAAAAATGTGCTGTAGTGTGTCCCCATCTAGGGGACTTTAAAACTAGTTTTGCTTAGAAAGAATATATTAAAACAGTGGCTGCCACCACTGATGCTGGACAGAGCATGTGACGGCTGACAACTGAAGGCAGGTTGATTAAACAGAACAAACTTTGCTGTCCCACCTGGGCCTATACTGAAAACAGTTATGAAAAAATATAATGTACTCATAAGGTTATTTCTTGAAGTAAAAAAATGATGCAATCAAAACCAAAGGTATCTGAAGAAACCATCTGCATTCACACATAATCTGATTTAGGAAACATCAAAAGCCTCTGAAATAGGCTCAGAACCACAATACACAAAAAACAACAGAAATATGGGTACATTTCACTTTCTGTTGTAATGAATGGTGCAAAAGCTGTCTTCGGGTGAAAAAACAATGCTTTTGCTCATGTTTGAGTCAACCTCCTACTGGGCAGTAAAACCAAACTAAGCAATACACCTCAACTGAGCATAAAAGGCATGAAAATCTCTACATTGCTGCTTTATGTGCTAATGAAAGATTTGAGAATTTTAAAATGAGCCCCTATTTTCCATTCTAATTTTTACTTTCTGACCAGTTAGTTGCTTAAGAAAAGTGAAATTTATCTTGAACCAAAATGTTACATAAATGATTCACTATTTCTCTTCTACTCTTAATCATTTTTACTTGTGCATATTTTATATAAATATTACAATGCTTAAACTTTGTATTTTGTAACACCTTCCTCCATGAGCTGAATCTTACTGAGGTTATGAACCCATTAAATGCTTTAGTTGCTCTGCCAGGTCACTGATGCCAATCAGTATGAATCAGCTTTGATACACAATGCAAAGATGCCAAATAACATCACCTATGGTCAATCAAGACTGAAACACCAGCCAAAGCTTCCCGCTACAGCTCACCACTGCCATGACTCTGAAACCCATTCCATCTTCAGGTTAATTCCTGTCTGTCTGTCAAAAAGGAATTGTTATCTTTGTTCAGTCAAATTGGATAAACTATGCCCTCCTATTCCATCTGAAAAAGATTAAAGCAATCAAAATGCTGCAGTTTCAGGCAAAACTCATCAAGCTGTAAAATGGAACTTCAAAGTTTTTCTTCTCTGTTATACTTTTGAACTAATCCAGAATTAATGTGGTCATTGACCTCTATTACATGGTCAGAGTTATTTTAATTTCCATTAAAAATCCCAGAAAAAAATCCATTGCTTTTGAGTATTATTGTCTAGAGTTATACAGAGTGTAGGCATTTTCTTCTCCCCTATTACCCACAGAAGAACAACCACCAAATTTCTGTCAATCGCTGACAACTTGTGTAAAGCCGGGTTTGTTTGTTTGGAACTACAGTGTTTTGGATTGGGCTGGACTGACACAGGAATGTAAGAGTAGTGTAGATGACTCGTGCACTGAAAAAGGTCAAAAATGCTCTTTTTAATTGATTTGGGACAAAGCTGGTTACTGTGCTGTGAAACCCACACCAGTTAGAAGACTCTCTCCTCGGCAAGGTTTGTTCCAACCATTCTGGAACACTCCAAAATCCTTCTGTTCACTTCTTGCAGCTACTGATCAGCTCCCAGGATCTGATCCCAATACCCTTTACCCCCACAACTGTGTGCACACTACTCACTCAGGAGTTACTCAAGAAGCAAGATACTCTGCAAACTAAATATTGAGAAGACAGAGATTATGAGAGACCACAGCAAAGACAGAACATCTTCAGGTCACTCAAAGCAGTAACAAACATGTTCCTTGGCGTCTACAGGAAAGCATTCTCAGATGGAACAACCCTAGGCTCATTCAGAAAATAGAGCAGACATGGTCAAAGAAACAAGGAGAAACTGAACTGCCCTCCTAGTTAAAAGCATTTGTCTAATTCAATTAGACAAGAGCATTTGTCTTAATTCAAGAATATCCTATGCATTCACTGTTATTTGGAGAAAGGGAATTGGATCAATTCTGAATACATACATTTCTACAGGATATAGTAACACTTCTTTCTTACTAAGCAGGGGATACTGCTACTATACAGCTGCTGACAAAATACTGCAAAAGCAGAAATAGGATATCAAGAGAAGCTGACCAGCTACCCATTTTATCCAATTTGTTGAGGAAAAAAACGCTTAAATTCTTTATTAAAAGTAGTATTTTCTATTGTCAGAAACTATCATTGAATGACATATCAACTTTTTTGAACAGCTTATAAAGAGTTAGAAGCAGTCAGAGTTCACCATGTAATTAGAGACAGCGTGGTGATTTGTATTACAAAACCATAACAAAAACATTTATGTTATAGCTTTTGTTTTGAATGGCCACTAAGCTCTTCTATTGTCTCCATTTTCACCTTTCTTACAATCCCTTGTAATGAGAATATGTCAGCCTGACAGCAAACATAAGTCCACCATCTTTTAAAACTGGCTATTACTCAGAAAACAAATTTTAAGTAGGAAAAGGGGGATTAAGAAAGCTGACAATTTTTTCCCCCTAATACACTCAAAAGCACAAATATGCCTTACTGTTTCAGGGCATGGCCTCACAAACACAAACGGAAACTAATTTTGTACCATTTTTACGTGAGGTAAAAATACATGCATATAAATATATAATAATCATCGCCATTCCCCAAACCACAATAGCCTAAAAAAACACATTTGCAATAGAAAAATTTTCTTTTCTTCTTAGTCTATAGCCAATTCCTTCTGAGACAAAGACTTACCAGTTTAATATCAATGCCTGTAGCACTGGCATCCAAGGAATTTTCTATCAGCTCCTTTACCACACTGACAACTGAAGTAATCACCTGAGAACTTGAAAGGAGCCGAATTGTCTCTCCAGGCAGCTGTTTCATGGTGGAAAGATTCAGGGAAGCTGCACAGAAAAATAACAGAAAAAGAATGTAAAAGGAACACTACAATTACACATTTCTAAGAAACTGTTTCACAGGAACTTTGAAATGTAGAAAAACACAACATTATGGCTAGAAAGTGAAATTTCCAAGTTATAGTAGACCCAACTTCCTCTGCAGTCAATAGGTGTTGGGAGAGAAATGGGGAGGCAACACACTGGTGCTGAGGAAAAGCCATGTTCAATGGCAATGGGACCTACTGGCAAAAATGAAAACCAAACCCAGAACAGTTCTCTGTTACAGTCTTGCCTCTCTGATCTGATGTACTGTGTGCCCTCAGGCAGGTAATTTTATTTCTGTGTCACTCTATCTCCCACTTGAAAATGAAGATGCCTTACAAACCAGTCAAGATTCATTTTTAATTTTTGGAAATACAAAAGATTACAAAAGTCTTGCTATATTATAGAGACACTCTCCCATTAAGAGATTGTATACAGATCTGTGAATTTTAGCATGCATTTCTGTTTAAGTACCTACATTGACACAAACAGGCAAGGCCCAGGAAAACTATTCTGCTGATCCTTGTAGCCTGCCATGAAAGAATTCAACCACAGTTTTATATGCATATGAGAGAGGCAGAGGAATGGTCAGACAGGATTCTTCTCTTCTCCAGTTTTTGTTATATAATGCTATTTACACTGAAAGGCAAACAATCCTGGCAGTGCTGGCTTTCCCATTGATTCAGTCCAAGGTATCTGCTGACCTTCCCGCTGATTCAGTCCAAGGTATCTGCTGGAGAACACAGACTGCACACTCAGCACCTGTCCCAAGGATATGAGCACACATGGAGGAATGGAACAAACACAGATTTCCTCCTGACACAACCAGGTCCTGCTGAGGGATTGCAGTCAACACCCTTAAGCATCACAGCCCTGCAGGGACTATGCAGCTGATACAACAATTACAGGACGTTTCTCTGCCTCAACATCCTTTTAAAGACAGCTACTCTTGAAACAGAAAAGACAAAGTAAAAATGTGGTTACTTGGGGGGGGGGGGGGGGAGCAGAAGTACAGTGTTATGCAGTACAAGCAGCACTGAAACTTTTCTAGGAACATTTACAAAGGGATTTTATCTTTATTTTTGTTATTTACATTGCAAAGGGAGTTTGCCTTTCAAACATGGTAAAAGGATCCAATGAATTGTTTTTCCACCAACTGGAAAACAAGAGGAGCAGGCGAAAAGGTGTGCTGCTGAAGATGAACCGATGTTAATATCATGTGCACGTGTTCAGAGAGGCAGGTTTTGAGGCATTCATGCACTGTACAGGACTCCTGTGTCAAATGCTTCATGATTCACTCATGGGAGTAAATCAGATGGGAGCTGGACGTCTCTCCATCAAAAGACACTGACTAAGATACAGGAGGATCTTAAAACAGAAACGCTGCAGACCTCAAAGACAAATTTTCTATGAGGTGACTGATGCAGGCAGTTTGGGAGAGGAATCGGCCCCCGGCCGTGTGTGGCGTCCCCTGCCTTGGACCCCAGCTGAGGGATGCACCGCTGGCCAAATCCCGGGAACACCTGCTGGGAAGTAGAGAGGGAATTCTGGGACCGCCTACCCATAGCAAAGCATCCAACCTATGACACCTTTTAGCTTAAAGACACGTATCTCAGCTCAAGCCACCTTACCACTGTAACTGTTCACGGAGTAACAGCTGTGCTCAGTGGGAAAACACAGCATTTTCTGCGTCGGAGCCCCATCGCTGTTCTAATCCTTGGATACCTCTACAGACATCTCCGACATGCCAACAACTGCGGTCCTACGCATCCTCAGCTACACGGGGAATAAAACCTCCCTAAATTTCACACTTCGGGCCCCTCAGCCGTCTTGAGCCACAGCAAGAACCCCGCCCCCCCTCCGAGCACCGCCTTCCTCAGGGGCCCTCCCTCAGCACGCACTGAGGCATTTCTGCGGGTTACCAGACGAAAAAACGGGCGAAAAGCTGCAGATAAGCCCTGCGGGCCCTCCAGTTTACCCAAAGCACAGAGCCGTCCGCAGTTCCCGGTGCTCGCTGAGAGAGGCGGGCGCTCTCTGCTGCCGGGGCCTGCCCGCTGTGCCCAGGGCCGCCCCGGCCCAGCCGCCCGCGGGAAGCGGCGCCGCGGCCCCGGCGCGGCCTCAGTTCCCCGCCGCTCCCGCCCCGCGGCTGCGCTACCTGCGCGCCCGCCCCGCGCCCGTGGGCGGCGCGGACAGCCCGGCCCGGCCCCTCCGCTCGTTCCCGACCGGCCCTGCCCACGGGCACCGCGGGCTCTACCTGCGGCCGGCGCCCCACGCTCCGCTCCGGCTCCTCGGCGGCCGCGGCGCTGCGGAAAGGTGGGGCCGCGGCGGGGGGCGGAGGGACGGGCGGCCGGGGAGAAGGCCACGGGCACGGCCGGCCCGGGGCGGCGGCGGGGCCGGGCGGCGGCAGCGGAGTGCGGCCGGCAGGGGAGGGATGGCAGAGGAAACGCGGCGGTGCCGCGGGCTGCTCCCCGGATGGGGCTGGAATCGTGGTGTGGGATGGGAGGGGATGGTGGGTCACGGCAAGATGTCTGTCTAGGTACTGGCTCCGCGGGTGCTGCGTCCCAGGGAGAGAGGAACAGCCTCGCGTCGCCCATCCCAGGTAATGTGTCTCCTGCACGGCTTGGAATGCTTTGCGACAGGTACTGGGTAAGGTTGGCAGTGCCCCGGTTCAGGTTCAGCGTATCTATTTTTAGTCTACTGTTGTTCATAATGCAGAATTTTTTATTTTTCTTATACTCTATGCATCACTAAGTGTCAGAAACAAACTTCCTCCCGAAAACAAGCTTGCTTTTGCTGGTTAAGCAGTGCTTTGTATTCTGATTCAGATGGTTGCTAAAAAAACCACTTCATCCCGCTCCCATAAATGAATATCCATAGTCCCAGAGATCGTGTGAGTTTTCAATAAGCAATAGTTGAGGGTTTTTCAAAATTATCATTACAAATTTTACTGCAATAGGAAGAGAGTGGCACTGTCAAGTTCTGTCAATTTCCTGGATATATCAGCATATTAAATAATCCTGTGTATCTCTGCATGTGTCTGTTGCTTCAAAAGCTTTTGAACATGTTCTCCAATTTTAGCTGGATTTAGGAGATGGAAATGTCTGTCTGGAAACTAATAGATGGGGAGGGGAGGAAATCTGCACTTTGCTTCAAGAAAAAGAGGCCTAGATTACTCCTTCATTATTCTTTCTAGAAGTAGGTGGCTGGGCAGTTGGTGTAGGCAGAGTTCTTCACTAACCATTACATGAACAAGGAAGAGGAGGAAGATTGTCTGATGTGGGAAGTGGAAAAGAACTCTGGATATTGTCATGGATGGAGAAACTTAATTCAGAGGATAAAAGTTATTAGCTTGGTTTCTTACAGTTTTGCAACTGTAGCTTCTGACATCACAGCTTACTAATTTTTTTAAAATGTCCTTTCTGTAGCAGGATTCTGAGTTTTATTTGTTTGGACTTGTTTTAAACAAGCAGTTCCCAACTGTTCCTTTGTACTGATTTGTCTATAAACCATAGCTGGAAGATCTTGAGGTACATCCTGCTTTATGTACTGTGTTCTCTCCAGACCTGCTTCTTTAAAGCAGCTTTTTCCCATATTTGAAAATTGCATATGTCAAGTACTCCTCTGTAACAGTATCTCAGTCTTCAAACAGATCTGTTTTATAGGGTAAAAATGAACGTAGGAGTTGCCCACAGCGAGGTAAATCCGAACACTCGAGTGATGAACAGCCGAGGAATGTGGCTGACATATGCGCTGGGAGTCGGCATGCTGCACATTGTCCTGCTCAGCATTCCCTTCTTTAGTGTCCCTGTCGCCTGGACTTTAACAAATGTCATTCACAACCTGGTGAGTACCCTCTCTTGGAACAGAATTTGAATAGTGGTTGTTCATAAATATTTATTTTCAGTAGCAAGGGAAGAGGAAAGTAGCCAGTCTGTATGGACAATGAAATCCTGCTATCCAAAACACCACCTCTCCTTGGCCTACCCACAAATGATTGGCTGTTTTGGGGAGGAGGAGTGATGCATGACCACTTTCAATTTAAGCATGAAAGACAACATGAAATAGTCTTTATGTAGTTATGTATTCTTTTAAATGGCATTTAATTCGGCTGGAAGGTTGCAGACATAAAATCATCATTTCAACTAACTTTCACAGTGTTCTGTATATTATTAGAGAGCTGTGCTGAATCCATAAACCATCACATTTTTAGTTATTGGACATATCTACTAATTTTTCCACATAAATCTGTTAGTATCCCAAAATGTTTAATTTTAGCAGCCTACCTATTTTCTTTAAGAGAAATGCTTGCATTGTATTTCTTCTAGGTTTGATTTCTGGCCAAGCTACATAATTCAGAATGACTTCAGCATACAATGTTGTCACCATACAGGACATTAGAGAAATCTTGATTGAAAGCAGCAGGCAAAACTGAACTACTTTGACCACAGCTCTGAACCACTTGTTATTCAGAGGGTCGTGACTTCCATGATGACTTTTGTATGCAAAAGATTTTGTGAGCTGCTTTCTGCTCCTCTCTGCAGGATGCCATCAGTTTCCTGTAATCACTTAAAGTAGTGCAGCTATCTGTATTGGTCCTGCCATGCTTAGAGAAAGGAGAGCCATAACCCAGCAATTTAGATCATACTTGAGGTTTGCTAGCTCACCTTTCTAACATTACCAGCAAAGAAGACTTGACAAAAAGATAGCTCCTTCCTTGTTTAGGAAAATGATAGTTCACTGAGGATGGGTAATATCCTCTTGAATGTAAAGTTTTAATTCTTATTTTAACTTTTTGGTTTTGTAGATAGGTTTAAGACTACTGGTGGAATTGTCATTAGAGCCTTTTGTGTGTTATCTTTGACAGCATCAGACATGTCTGACTTCAGAAGATGTTGGCAGAGACAAGTATTACTAAATTTTCCACATGCCTTACTGAACTCATTGCAAGTAGCTGTAATGACAACAGCGATGAGAACATGTACTGGCAAGTAGTTTTGTAGTGGAACACTAAAAGATGAGTATAAATTGCACTGGTGGATATTTCAGAATTTAAATGGCACTTCTTTTGGAAACAAATCCTCAAATGGTTTGACAAAAAAAAAACCCTTGGATTTCTACTAATGGAAAACTCTTAGCTAACCTTGAAAGTACTTTTGATGGTTCTTTCTGCAAGTACCACTGGGAAATAAAATGTGAAGTAAGCATTTGGATCTGTCCTAAAAGTGTCTTTATGGTTATTAAAATAGACACTGCAGACGTCATGAATCAAAAAATTAATTAAACAAATCAATTGTCCTAGGTTCACAGGGCTCTGGTCTGGAGGCTGTTCCAAAAAAAGGTGTAAGGAGACATGAAGTGATTTGCTGAGATTTCACCTCTATTAGAATTTGGAAGAAATGTGATTTTTTTTTCCTAGATAAAGCTTTCTATAATTTTTTTTTCTATGTGCATAAGAAAGAGAAGGAAATCTTTGATACTGTCTCATGGACACTCTTCCTTGGAGATGGTATGCTCTCTTAAATAGAAGACAAGTGTTTTTTAAAACTGGAAGAGGGTGTACTCCCCTGTTTGAAAGCAAGAGGCCCAAATTGGGCTTTCAGAACAAACCATACATGGTATCTTCCCATCAAACAGGAACAGTTTGATGTTCCCCTGTTTAAGGAGAAGCAGCAGGTGGACAGATGGTATTCAGCAGAATGCTTAGTTAGTTCCTAAGGATTTGAAGCTGGTAAGGGGCTGAGAAAGATTTCAGGAGTTGGTCTGATATTGTCAGTGTTTGTAGGTAGATTTTTGCTTTATGCACACTCTACTACTCATCACTCTGTTAACACTGTGCTAGGAAAGTGGTGATACAAATCAGCACTTGTTACAGTACTTGTTAAAATTCTATTGAATTCAAGGAACTTTTGCCTACTGGTGTAGAAGGCAAGGGAGTGGATTGGATGTCACACAGACTTGGGCATTAATTCTGACTCTGCACAGTCTCAGGCAAATCACTTCTCGTCTCTTCCTTCCTCTTCAATAGCTTGTTATTACAGGCTAGCAGCTCTTCTGGTTGAGAATTTACTCACTCTCTTTTTTAAAAAATTATTTTTAATTTTATAATGCATTGAACAATGTAGCAATTATTTTAAAATATTACTAAAAGTGCCTCTGTATTCACTTTTTATTTTCCCCAGGGAATGTATGTGTTTTTGCATGCAGTAAAGGGAACTCCTTTCGAAACACCTGATCAGGGCAAAGCTAGGCTACTAACACACTGGGAACAGCTGGATTATGGAGTACAATTCACATCTTCAAGGAAGTTCTTCACAATCTCTCCTATAATTCTGTGAGTTCAAAACTGTGCTATAGATCAATTGACACATAAAGCCATGATTTCAAAAGCTGCAACATAATGGGTTGCAATTTACAGTCTAAAAGCATTTTCTGTCTTTTTCTTGTTTGTTTTTTTATTTCTACATCACAGCTGTAGGGAGTATTTATTTACAGGCTATGTAATCAACAATCATTCTGCTTTTGACACTCCACATACTGAAGTCAAAGTTTGTAAACAGTTATTAATGGGGCAGGTTTTAAAGATTAGAAATGTTGGGAGGAAAACTTACTGTTAACTCTTGAATTTCTTTAGAGATTGTGAAGTCATAAATATTGAAAATCTAAATGAATTGCTTTTGTGGCCGCATTTATTAACCATTTTGCAACTTGTGAGCTAGAAATGTGTCAGTCATCAGTGAATGGGATCTGGTGTCAATTTTGCTTTGTACATATTGTTTTCTATGTAAACTATGCAAATGGCGTAAGATTTCTATACACCTGTCTCTGTTGACAAAAGTCTGGTTGTGTAACTAAGAAAAATCAGATACATATTTAATATTCGACTCTGAAAGTCTTTCTGGTTGTTCCTAAAGAAAATCTACACACCCACTTATATGGCAGAGTGAGAGGGGAGGGAAGATCGTTCATGATGTTCAGAAAGTTGGCTCATAAAGGACAGACACTGGGAAAATATATATAACTCCTCAAGGTGGGAGAAGTGCTGGAAGAAAACAGTAAACTAAGCGTTGCTTTTTAGCCCCTTGAGAGGTATGGGAAGAAGAGACTTACACCATAATTTTGCTGTAGATACTCTAGAACCTCAGGTGAGATATTTAATACAGATACAGATGTTAACCAGTAAAGTCTTGCTAATCACTAAAGCACTTTTTTCAACTATGCTTTGTATGTGTTTTAGACAAGGCTGCAATCAGCTAAGCTTGCTCCCTTTTCTCCTGCAGGTACTTCCTGACGAGTTTCTATACAAAGTATGATCCCACACACTTTATCCTCAACACAGCCTCTCTCCTGACCGTGCTTATCCCCAAGCTGCCACAGTTGCACGGGGTTCGAATCTTTGGCATCAATAAATACTAAGCAGAAGGTTCAACGCTGGCTGCCCCTGACATGGCTACTACTGCTCCCTGGGTGAAGGAAATGAGTAGTCTGCTGTGCTGAGTATCTCATCGTACCTGGTGAGAGATGCTTTTACGTCTGAGATACAATTCCTGCTTCCTGCAGCATTGTCTGGGATGAAAATCGACTTTTTAAGAAGATGCCTTCAGATACTTCAATGTGGATTGGAAACGTGTGGAAGAAAGATTTTCATGAAGAACTGGGCAGGCCCAGCTCTAAAGCCTAATCCCCACTAAGACTGTACATGTGGCTGATGCAAGTGGCTTGTAAGGAAGGTTCAAGTAGCGGCTGAAATGGAGAGCAGAGTTTCACAAATACTCATCATCCATAATGCAGGTGGTAACTTTACATATAAATCTAGAATCCTCAGTGCCAAGGACTGGTGAGGCCACATTGTTAGATTAAGAGAAATTAGGTAGTTTCTGCTGTAATGGATTGTAAGTGGTTGTGCTTGTCTTTGCATTGTAAAAGTCTGTCCCACAGTAAGTACTGTGACAGCGAGCATAAATTGATGGTATAATTCCTGCCTTCTCTGTTCTTGGGATTTTTTAAATTTATTTTTTTTTTGGTCACAATAACTGAACAAAGTCCTTAACTGCCAGCTCAGGGGAGTTCCACATCAACTCAAGAGCTCAGTTTATGTACGCTTTTACAAGTTGCCACTGTTGTGTTCATTTCACTTTGCTTACCAGGATACTGACTTTTCTATGTGTAAATGGGACATCCTGTAAAATTGCAATTTCTTTTTAGGTGTGAATTTTTGACTATTTTCTCTGATACTCACTGATGGGTTATTTTTCAGTAGCTGAGAGGCCCTGTGAGGTGGTGGGGAAAGGCTTGCTGCAGTTGTAGAAGGTGCTCTGTTACAGAGCAAGTGTCTGAACACGTAAGGGAAGCTGTGTAGGTTGTAAGCTAGAATAGAAGCTGAACTAGAAGTAGGTGAGTAGGTAAATCACATGGACTAACTATGCTTTTGCAGAAAAAGGTATAGATAACTTGCATGTCTTGGAAATGTGGAGGAATGCTGTGTTTTAGGGGTACTGTGTAGTGTGGGGTAATCTTTTATATTATCAGCTCTGGTATTAGAGTGAAGGAGGTACATCTACTGCTGTGAGCAGTTATTTCTCTGTTGTGGAAAAAGGATTAATTCTGAAGTCTGCTGTGTGTGTGCCAGCCCAAACCAGCTCAGATTTAATGGAAGACTCCATTTAAGACTTGATTTACCTTTTGGTTGCAGTGGCAGCCAGTGAGCTGGAAAAAAAAATTAAAAATATCAAAACACAAGCCTACAGTGGTGTACTTATTTTTTTTTTCTACAGCAATTTCCTGGCTATTTACTTTATCGATAAATGTGCTGTTAAAAAAAAGGGCAGTGAGTTACGAATTTTCTTTAGCAATTGGAACTTATTAGTTCTGGCTGCTGCTTGCACAGAAAGCGGTAACTGGCTGATTTTTAAGACTGGCCATCACAAGGCTGTGGTGTCCGGGGGCCGGGGTGGCTGGACAAAGCCCTTGGCTTGCGGAGGAGTCCCCGCTCTGGGCCGCTCTCCGCACGGCGGCTGCGCCGGCCGGAGCACCGCCCGCGTCCCTGGCGGGGCGGAGCCGGGCCGGGCCGTGCCGGGGGTGGCGATACCGCCACACGGGAGTGACGCGAGTGCGCCGCGGGATTCCGGCCGCCGCTGCCGCGGGCCGGCCGGAGGATCCGCGGAGGTGGGGCCGGGCCCCTGGCGGAGCAGAGCGGCCGGACTTACCCTGCTCTCCCTGCCCGCACGGCAGCGCTCAGCCGCGGCGCCGGCTGCGGGCCGCGGGCCGGCTGTGACCTCCCTTAGGGCTGCGAGAGGCACCGCCAGAAGCCCAGTGAGGAACTCTCTTCATACGTAATTCTGGGAGGTAACGCCTTGTTTTACCTGCTGTTTTTTCTTAGGGTCTTAAACGTCGTGTGTGGCCATTCATGACTTTAAAAGATCTTCAGAAAATCAGGGCAGAACACGTGGTTGAAAGCCCTCCACTAATAATAAGTTCTCTTCTAGACATAACCACCAGGTGGATGATAAACAATGAACAGCATTGCCCAAAGCGTTTTGCAGTCAGCGAAGCGCAGCCGAGCTGCGTGGCTGAGGAACCGCTGTGCTCACTCTGGAAAGAAGCGTTTTCGCAGGCTGGTTTTGGGAATAGAGACAAGCTGTGACGACACCGGCGCTGCTGTGGTGGATGAAGCTGGCTGTGTTCTGGGAGAAGCACTGCACTGTCAGAAGGAAGTTCATTTACAGTAAGAACAGACTTCTCTCAAGGCTTCTACCTTAATAACGATTTTACTGTTACTTATCATCCATAGAAAACTCTTCCCTGCCCCATAAAATTCAGTACGTGGTGGGTAGGTGTGAAGATGTATCACTTTGGCGTCAACATATACTGCCTGAGATAGTACTAAAGGGGAGGAAATAAATGCCATGAATTTAACAAGTTTCCTTTCAAAGAGAGACAGATTGCTCCTCTAGCTTGAATAAAAGATTAAATAATTGCTACTGTTAAAATCACTAAATGTCTTGACTTTTTAAAGGAAAAATTAGTCAAATATAAGCACTGGTCATTAAGAACATGAGCTGACAAGTGAGGGGTTGTAAATACTAAGTTGTATTATTTTGGAACAGTGTTGAGATACATTTTAAAAGCATCTATACCAAAAAAGGGCAAGTTACATCCTTTTCCGGCCTTCCACTGATAATTTTGCTCCTTTCACTCTCCTTGACACTGATCAAGGCATTTGAGAATGCATTAAGGAAACAGGATACAAGATTAAGAGGTGCCTGGAAACTATTTTTATGGCATTCTATCTGTTATAAACTACCAATGCGTTGCAATTCTTGGTTTTACTAGATCAGGAGGAATAATTCCCGTGGTGGCACAGCAGCTTCACAGAGAAAACATCGACCAAGTGGTTCAAGAGGCCCTTGGTGCCAGCGGCGTTTCCGTGGCCGACCTTGCAGCTGTGGCGACCACAGTGAAACCTGGGCTCGCTCTGAGCCTGGGCGTGGGGCTGCAGTACAGCCGGAGCTTGGTCAGCAGGCACCAGAAGCCCTTCATCCCCATCCATCACATGGAGGCTCACGCACTGACCATCAGGCTCACACATCACCTGGAATTTCCCTTCTTAGTTCTACTAATCTCTGGAGGTCACTGTCTCTTGGCAGTAGCACAAGGAGTTTCAGATTTCCTCCTGCTTGGACAGTCCATCGACATCGCACCGGGTGACATGCTGGATAAGGTAATATCTCCTCTCCTTACCTTACCTTAGCTGTCCTCTTCTTTTTATTGCATTTATACGACATAATGGTAGTAATATCATCAGCCTGAGGACAGCAATTCAATTCAATACAAGTTTTATGTAACTTTTTTTTCTATTTTGGAATGCCATAGATTTAAGATATGAAAGACTGTTAAAAATGTACACAAAACATCAATTGTAATGTATGTACATTAATTATATTTTGGCAAATAGGCAACATAACCAAAACTGGTGTTGGATGTTTCATTGACACTGATTATACAAATAAGTTGTATTAATTCGAGAAGATTTATAGAGGTATTTTATAAAGGTACTATTATGCTGACAGGTTTAAAACAATGCATGTTAAAACATTTCTTACTAATTTTAGTTTTTAGAGTTTGAAAAGCATGGTTTGGCCTTCAGAATCATAAGTTTTCTGGGTCCCTCAGTACAGTCTGTAAAATTGGTCACTTATGGCTTTGTTCTCAGCACCATTTTAAAACAGTATTTGTCCATATTAATTAAAAATAGGGGGAGTGGATGGAATCATAAAGGGGATTTTCAAAAGTTGAAATCGGCTTTGTTTCTGTGTATCTGGTAATACAGTATGGCAGACTGTGTGTGTTTCCTATAGCTTAAAAATGGAGTAATTAATATTTCCTGCAAAATCTGTTGATCCTTATGTTTGCCCAGATCGTCCTAGAATTAAATTTCTAAATACTCCCAAGAAAAAAAAGTATCCTGCTGGGCTGATGTTATGTCTTACCCGTACCATGCCCTGTTTGTAATATCACATTGGATTGGATGTTTTGGTGCCACATTTTACTCCATGGACTATAGTACAAGGAGGAACTGATTGTTGTTTGTCGTCTCCTTAGGTGGCACGAAGACTGTCTCTAAGAAAGCACCCAGAGTGCCACAGCATGGCTGGGGGGAAGGCCATAGAGCACCTGGCTCAGACGGGGAACCAGGAACTGCTCACCTTCCGACTGCCCATGCAGCAGTATCGGAACTGCGACTTCTCTTTCTCCGGACTTCAAAACCTTGTCAATAATGCCATTGTACAGAAAGAAAAAGAAGAAGGTATTTTTTGGGCAGTCAGATACAAACTGAGCTTTTGATGACCTACACTCAGGAACCCCCTTTGATGATATACTTTTATAGGTATTCCGGAAGGTGAGATCCTGTCCTGTGTTAAGGATGTTGCTGCTGCTGTACAGCATGCAGTGGCTGTTCATATTATCCAGAGGACATATCGAGCCATGCTCTTCTGCATCAAAAACAGCATATTACCATCAAAAAATGCCACTTTGGTGGGTATACTTTCTTTTTCCTTTTTATATCTGACTCTGTAACATCATTTGAAGATGCAGATGCCTTGTACTTTCCACCTTTGACATATAAGGAAGATCTCACTATGTATTATATTGTTAAAATACCAACAATATTGAAGTAACAGTCATATAAATGTTTAGCTGGTTTTTAAAGTAGAGAGGGATTTTCTTACCATCTAGTCTAACCTCTCGTAACAACTTGACCTTGTGCTCCCCAATACTTGATGGCTGTTCTAGTTACAGTAGAACCATAGACTGCTTTAGCTTGGAAAGGACCCTAACGATCATCCAGTTCCAGCCCTCCTGCCATGGGCAGGGACACCTTCCAATTAAGACTGACATGCTTCAGGAATGTCTTTTTTCACAATAAGCTCACTTAGCGTAGTCTTTCCTGGTATGTTTTAATCTTAAATGCAGCATTTATTGCTGTCTTTAGAACTTCAACTGATAACTATTTTCTAAACTTGATGCTGGTTGTGTATGACCCATAAGTGCTTTTGAATTAATGCCTTTTTTTCTTTTTGAAATGCTGTCAGGTTGTATCAGGAGGAGTTGCAAGTAATCAGTATATCCGAAAAGTTCTACAGAATCTGGCAGATGCAAACGATTTTGCTTTACTGTGTCCTCCTCCAAGACTCTGCACTGATAATGGTGTTATGATTGCATGGTAAGAGTTGTTTCTCTTTAAACAACATTACAGGAGCACATGCAAAGTTGACATGAGCGTTAAGAAGCTCTCTGTGTGCTGACTGAACGATGTGCTCGTATACAGAGCTGTGACAAAGGTTTTTATGTAATTGCTTTGTTGCTCAGGAATGGCATTGAAAGGTTACGTGCAGGGCTGGGGGTCCTACACAGTACTGCTGGCATCCGCTACGAGCCCAGGTAAGTGACCTGTCACTCCCAGCCTCTGTTCTCACTGTCATGGAGCAGCCAAAGGGGAAGAGCTCACATGAAAAAGAGGCACAACACCTGAGGAGTCTCTCTGCAGCACACATAAATTTTAAAAGTTACTTTACAAGGCAGTTTTAAATAGAAATTATTGTGGCTGGCATTTATGTTTGTTTTTGCTCAGAAACTTAATTTACCATACATCATAACAGTTCTATGTGTTTTCCTTCTATGATTGTGTAGATGTTAGGCTTAAGGCCAAACAAAATGTGGAGATCTCAAAAATACCTGCTGGTCTTAAACTTTACTTTTTTTTTTCAATTTTTATCCCTTTCCATTTTCATAAAAATAGACTTGGATTGTCTCAATACAAAAAGAAAGTATTACAGTTTTCCCATGAAAAATTATAAAATACTCTAATTCAAAAATAATTTGTATATATTTCAGTGAATAAAAAACTAAGTTTTACTTGCTGTAGACAATGCATTATGTAAGATTATCACAGGAGATACCTGTGAAGCTCTATAGTGTTTTGCATTCAGCAAGACATTAAATGAATTATCAACTAAAATCAGAATCTAAATAAAACAACAGCCCCAGAAGATGGCTTTGAAATCACAACTGTGTTTCTAGAGTTTGGAGTGGCTGCAATTGCAAACATCTCCTTGTAAAGATGTTTTCAGGTACAGCTTTAGATGGGCTATTTTAATGGTCACAGTCTTAGAAATGCAGGGAATGTACCAAAATACTTTGCCTCTAGTGTTAATTGTAAAAAAGGTCTGTGAAGCTGTACATCTGTGTGATATGGCAATGACGATATTGATTTTTAACAAATATATAATTTTGTTTTCTAGAGCTCCCCTGGGAATTGATATTTCAAAAAGAGTTGAAGAAGATTCCATCAGGGTGCCAAAATTAAAAGAGATACGATGGTTGGCATCTTAAAAAGTAACTCAGTAAAATAAATGCAACTATAAATAGTTCAATGAAAACTGTTTCAATGCTGTTATGTTTAGGGACAATACTTGGATTACAAGTGTTGAAAATCATCTGTCAGAGAAACAAATGCTGTGTTGCTATCACCAAAGTAATTCCAGTTACTATTCCAAATTAAGCATTCTCAGTATTAAAAAACTTAAAAGTGCAGGATGCATTCATAGTGAGTTCCTTGTACATGTACAACTCTGATTATTAATAATTATGCCCAAGTGTGTAAAAAAAACCAGACTAAACATTCTAAGAAAACTTGATTTACTGACTTCACATATAGAATAAATGCAACATCTCCAGATATAGCTCTATACTTAATCTACTGAAAGTAACTTCAGCCTGCTGCATGTGTCAGATGCTTTTTCCCTGTTGCTCTCTAGTTTTGCAATTCGAGATCCAAACTGTACTGCCCTTTTTGGCAAAACAGTTGAGGCTGTCAGGCCCAGCTCCTTGGCTGCAAGGCGCAGAATCAGTTTCTCGCCAATTCCTCGAGGTAAAGTCAAATCAGCTTTTTCTGAGACAGGCAGAGAATTGAGGAATGAGACAACATCTTCATCAAGAAAAGGAAACCTGGAAGAGAGATTTACGTGGGGAAAGACCCTTTAAAAATTCCATAGGAATAATCTTGGGTTTTCCCTTTCCCACATGCAAAGACCATATGAAACTACACTGTAACATAATATTTACACAACAAATCCTGGTATCATTCTGAATTTCAGGCATTCATATCTAATTATATGCATGGTTAAGAGCACTGCATACCCACCACTGCCACTGTTCTTGTGGTGAACTGAAAATGTGCAACTAAGAACAGATTTGGAAGAACAGTGGAACAAAGATGACATGAGAAAACCTTTCATGTACTTCAGTGGCTTCTGCTCCTGGACAACCCCTAAGGAATTTTTTTCAAGTTGATGGTAGCATGAAAGAAGTAGACACACATAAAATGATTCTTCAGACTTAAGAGCCAGGAAATGTGGTAGATATTGACTATGCCTTTACTGCATGGAGAGGAATACACAGCTCTTGTTACACTATCATTCTCCAGAGAATGATAAGACCTCCAAAGGTCCACCACACCAAAACACTTCAGAGTCGTGCAAAAGACTGTTTAGCTTCAAATGATAAAACCAGCTAGAATTTGTCTATTTCAACATCTGCTGCTGCTTCTTAAAACTTCTAGATGGAAATCAAATTGCTAAATTTCCTTAAGTAAACTCTTGCACAATATACTACAGACTGCTTTTTTAAAAAACAAAACAAAAAACTGCACAACGCAGTACACCTTAACAAAACTGCAGCTGAACTAGAGACAAAAAAACATACAGAAGTTTCAATTAAGATTTTGTTAGGGGTGTTAAAAATTGCATCTAACCAGCAAAACCAGCTTTGTTCCATGTTAAAACAGTAATACCTGGCTTCTTTTCCATGATCACCGATGATCCTGTCATCTCTACCGAGATTTCGAGAAGAAATGCGACCTAACTCCATTTCAAGCTCTTTATTAAGACCCTCTAAGCCATCTTTTCTGAAGCAAACACGATGTCGAGAATAGCCAGCAAGCTGCTCATCTGCTCCAATTCCCGTAAGCACAACCTGAGGAAACAGAATATAAGAAATCTTGGTATCTGTGCAAGTTAATATGTAACAGACTTGAAATACTTAACTACGTCTTAAAGAGAAAAATTTTAATACACATCTTCTAAAGATACTACCTATCAGAATGGGCTGTACCTTACACATTTACAAAGCCTGAAAGAATTCCCAGTAAAGTCAATGGTAACTTGAATTAGGTTAATGATCAGACCTTAAAGTACACAAAAATACTGCTAGTGGAGCAAGGAAAAAACATAAAAATAATGCCATATGTATCACAAATACACTAGTATATTTGAAGAATGTCTTAGTTTCTGTGATAATAAACAGCATTTGTTAAGCACAAGCCTTTAAAAATTATTGCCAAAGACTATGTCATATGTTGTAGTTACCTGAATGTACACCCACAGTACTATTCATTTTCCAGCTACTGGGTTAGTAACAACTACATTACACAAACTAAAAATGGCTTACACTACTCAGTAAGTACAGTAAAATGTTTTATTAAGAGAAAAAACACTATTACATCTGGCCCATTACTGTGCCTTCAACAGCTGAAATGAAACAGTTCCTTCTTCCCCACACAAACCATCAGAAAAACAGAAGTGAGGAATCAAAAATTATAGATAGTGGTTATTTTTTTTTCTGCACATATTATTGCATATCCTAGTTCACTGGAAAGCCATGCACATTACATGACAAAAGAACGCGATTTTTAACTCTAGAACTACACAAATGTTGTAATTGTAGAATATTTTACATTCTGACACTGAATTTCAGAAGCCTTATGAATAGCAAAGATTGCAGCTGATTTCTGAATCAATAAAACTGTTTTTACATTCAGAAGTCAAACATAAGGCAGAAAACAAAACAAAACAAAATAGTACCTTTGCAGGACTTTTATATGGTTTCAGTTCTCCTTGGTTACTAATGAAACCCTCTCCTCTGGAAGCAAACCAAATTGCACAGCCAATACTGTCATCCAAGACTGTATCCAGTGGATAGATTAAGTAATTAATATGCTGTTTTCTCATTTTTTTCAATTCCTCTAGTGTAACATTAATTTCCACAAAGTTCCAGGTTCTTGAAGGGTTAATGGCTTCTAATTCCTTCAGTCCTGCCCTACCAGTGATTCTGTCAGGAACATCAAAGCAAGATAAATGAGTACCAGTGTCAGCATCAAGATCTTGACAACTTTCTTGAGGACAAAGCAAATCAAGCTGTACTTCACGGCTGGTACGTCTTTTAGTGGTACCCCTGTGCTTAGCTTGCTCTTTCATCATGAAAGCTACGTTAAGAAGATCAATTGGCTCTTCCAAAGGAACATGTTTATCAGCCAGGGCTGCAATAACCATAGAATCAATGCCACCAGAAAAGAGCACTGCAATATGTGCTTTCTTATGAGATGTGCTTGGAACTTCTCTTGTTATCTGATCTGGATCTCTAAAGAGACACAGGACTCGTCTCTTGATTGCTTCATTTAAAACATCAATAAATTGACAGGCTAATTTTTTCTTATGTTCCTCTGCAAGAAATTCTTGAAGGGCTTCTACAGAAACCACACAGTTAATGTTGCTAAAATTAGAGCCTGGACATGCACCAGAAGCTTTAGAAACTGTTTTATTTAAGGGGGTAACTGGTGCTCTAAGACACGGCTTTGATTCATTCACCACGAGATGTATGTGGTTTGGTAAGTCTTTTGACACTTGGTCAAGAACATTAATGCATGTTCCTTCTACTGCTTTTTCTTTGCAGCTGTACTTCCATGGAAACAACGTTAAAGACAAAGATTTAGTTGCTGCACAAGCTTTGAGATCAATTTTGAAAATTCCAGATGCTGGGACTTCCTGCCATTGTTTGCCTGATTCAGAATAACCACTTACAGATGTGAGACAGAAAGCACTGTCATCTTCATTACTGAATTGCCAAAGCAGACTGCGACGACCAAAGTAATCTCTGCCAAACCATAAACTGTGTCTGGGTGCTTCATAATAAATAAAAGACCAGGGACCCTGAAGCGATGAGAAGAGTGACAGAATGTCCATTTCACTGCTGCATGAAGCCAGATGATGAAACATTACTTCAGTGTCATTCTCTAGATTTCCTACATGCACTCCACTAAAAATTTCTCCGTTCCAAAGAAAAACATTGTTACTGGCATCTTCCAGAGGCTGAGGAGTCACCAGTCCCCTCAAGTGAAGTACATGGCCTGAAAACAGACATTCATAGGAGAGATCAGACACAGTTTTTATCAACTGTTGGCTACTGTCTGGTCCTCTTCTTCTTAGATGGCAGAGGATGTCTTCACTGAGAAAATCATGAATCGCATGCTGGCTGCACAAGGTAACAACACAGCAAATACCACACATTGCAACAGGGAATTCACATCAACTACTTCTTGATTTTAGCCTTTTCCGAATTTTCCAGCTCCTGATGTGCCTTCTTTAATTCATCTAATGTATCTGTGCAAGACAAAATGACACAAACAATCAGTTTCATAAACAGGAAAGTTTATGTATAGATAAGTTTAAGGGATTATCTACAAAACTTAATAATTCCAGCCACTTGTTAAATTAAAGTGATAAACATAAAACACTAATTAAGCAAAATGCTATGTTTTTGTTCCATCATTACTAACACAAGCTATGCAAGTTTGCTGTAGCATATTCCTCTTTAATTATACAAAGAAATTTTTCCAAAGAAAGCCACAGTGCAATAGGGGAATGGCCAACTCCTATATAATCAGTATGACTCCAACATTTGTAGAAAGAAAAGGGAACTGACAATAAAAATGGCAATGCTATTAACTCAAATCAAAGCAAAGAGATGCAGCAATTGTTCACTCCAGAAAATTAGATTTATACTTCTAAATTGATACTCTTCTAATGTTCCATCATCACCTCTATTAACCATTCTCCTATTACTTTGTATTTGACACACAGCTGCAATTTTCTCATTTTAATATATCTTTCAAATCAGCTACAAATAAGCTTTTAAACATTAACTATTTGAGATACTTCAACACTGCAAACTTACTTTTGCACTGAGACAGCATTTCTGTCCGGTCTGCAAGGAAGAATATGTTGCTATTGGGTTGCTGTTTATAAACTTTCTGTAAAACAAAACCCACACTGTATTAAGTCAAAGCAGCAGATTCTGGAACCACACTGCAGCAGAAGCTGCTGTGGGTCCAAAGAGACACTCCTGGTATAAAAGTGAAGGTGTAAGTTCTGCCCTGTGAACACCAGCATTCTAATGCTGTACCATCAAAAGCATTTAATGCTCAGCCTAAGACAATTCTGAATTTCCCTCTTCCTCACCCACAAGGGATCACATTCTATTTTAAACAAATGCATAGAAAAAGTAAGAATACCTCATGAACCCATATAATAAACTCAAAAATTTTAATGAAATAACTCAAAACATAAAAAAGCCCCAAGTATACATGATCAAATAATTTGCAGGACAAATTATTTTGAGCACAGCAGACCACATGTTTATTAAAATCCAGATTACAACAAATTAAAGACAGCATGCTCTGATTTTGTTGTCCTTCTTGTCTTTATGATTTAATTTCTCTGCTGAAATTAAATAGTTAAAAGCAAATTTGTAAATCCTTACCCGGTTCTTCTTCAAGTTAGAAAGCTCATCGACTACAACCTTCTGCTCTTTAATCTGAAAGGCAAAAGATGCATTTGATTTTAATGATAAAAACAAGACATCACAATCCTAGTGGTGAGCATGTCTACTGATATTTTAAGACAGCAACATGCATGTATAGCTGCTGTTCTCCACATGAATCACTGAAGACAAAGTAAGTATAAAAATTACATACTTAATTTCTCTATAACAGGCTATTTTGCATATATTAGTATTTCTCCTCCCCTCAAAAGCCTCTGGGAAGCCAGAGTAGCTACAGCTATTTATAATCAGAGAGCACATTTTTCCTCCTCGGAAGAGAACATGTACACTAATATAACTAATACTACATCAAATAACTTTTAAAAATTAGCATAATATCAAGAATACACTTCATAATGATAGGTATGCTCCAGATTCAAAATGAAATTAATGAAAATACAAACACTCTAGAACTGTATTAGGAGCAATGGGAGCCTTTCTATTGCTCTGGATTTTTATATTAACTTCCTTAGTGGGATTTACCACTCTGTTCTGCACTGACAAATGTGGCAGATATTCCCATTTTCTTTTACAATGGCAGCTGTGAACTAAAGAGTTCACAGCTAGAGAGTAATCAGAAGAAGTTGCAAATGCCAAAAATTGAAACAAAATCTGTTCAGAGGGCACAATGCTTTTTGTTAGAAGCAAACAACATGGGTTTCTCTGCTCTTCCTTTGTGTCTCCTGGAACTGGTACAACAGTAGGAAGCTGCCACGGAGTAAGGTCAGCCAAACTGGGGGTGAGTATGGCAGACTGAAAGTTACAACTTTTCCAGCAGCTACATCAATCTCTCTATCTACAACACCAACAAGGCAAAGCAGCAGAGCCATCCTCTGCCACAGACTAAACCAGCCACTTAGGCACAACAGAAGTGACAACCTGTAGCTCTGTGATGTCCCAGCTTTGTAGCTTCCAAGCAATTAAAAACATCGCTGTCTCTATACATGGCCACACAGAAGTAATTTCTTTTAATATAATCACATAATGTTAAGGGGTTGCAAAGGACTTTAAAGATCATCTAGACCCAACCTGCTCCCTGCCATGGGTACATCCCACTAGACCTGGCTGCTCCAGGCCTTATCCACCCTGGCCTTTAACACTTCCAGGGTTGGGGCATCAACAGCTTCTCAGGGCAAAATGTGTAAGTGCCTCACCATTCTCACAGCAAACAATTTCTGCCGAGTATCTAACCCAAATTTGCCCTCTTTCAATTTGTACACATTACTCCTTGTCTTATCACTAGAGTTCCTGGCAAAAAGCCCCTTCTCTGGCTTCCCTGTAGTCTCTATTGGAATACAGGTAAATTGATATGAGGTTTTTTGGAGTGAAAGTTCCACAGGGCTTGGCAGATTGCATACTGAACAAAGCTGTGGGCACAAGGGAGGAGGGAGCAGATAAATTAGGAGCATCTGCCTCTATGGCTGAAATCTCTTCGGACATTTTGGGCAGATAATGATGAACAAGGATAAAGATGAAGCCATTTGAGAAGCAGGTGAGGATACTTGATTTGTCCAGCCTGGAGGAGACTAAGGGGAGAGCTCACAGCAGTCTACAAGTTCCTTAGGTGGGGAAGTGCAGGGGAAGACACTGGTCTCTTCTCCCTGGTGACCAGTGACAGTACCACAGGGAATGGCCTGGAGCTGGGTCAGGGATGTTTAGACTGGATACAAGGAAAAGATTCTTCACCCAGAGGGTGATTAGGCATTGAACTCCCCAGGGAAAGTGGTCACAGCACCAGCATGACAGAGTTCAAACAGCTTTTGGATAACGTGCTCAGGCCCTCGGTGTGATTCTTGGGGTGTCCTGCGCAGCGCTAGAGTTAGACTCGACCATTGGACGTCTCTCGAAACTCATGATATTCTGTGATTCTGTGAGAAAAACCTCAGTGCGCCTCACTTGCCATTTCAAGCCCAATTTGGAGCAGTAAGATCCAAAATACCAATCCGACGATCGAGCTATTAGCGAGGCAGCGCGGGCTCGCTAAATGCAGGCCGCTCTCGGGGCCTGGGCAACCCCGGGCACAGGAGCTCCCGTCCCAGACGGCACCCTCCCTCCTCTTCCTCACGCTGCTCGCACCCGAGGCAGCAGGCTCCGGGAGCCACCCGCGCCTCGGCCCGGACCCTGGTACAGAGCCCCGCCGGGCCGACTCCGCTCACCCGCCGGCTCAGCTCCTCCTTGTGGCGCAGCGCCGCGCTCTCCCCATCCTCCTGCCGCGCCGGGCCGCCCGACATGGCCCCGACAGCGCCGACAGCCGCACTGCCCACGCAGTCGCCGCAGCCTGCCGCCCCAGGGCGCGCGCGCGCACAACACCACCAATCAGCAGGCGCGGCCGAGCACGCGCCTGACGGGACACCAATCAGCAGGCGCGGCAGAGCGCGCGCGGGGCGCGGGCCGGCCGGCGCGAGTGCTGAGGGAGCTCGCGCCCCCGGCCGGGCGGAGCCGGGAGTGCCGCGGCTGTGGCGGGCCGTGCCCGCCTGTGCCCGCCTGTGCCGGGCCGTGCCGTGCCCGCCTGTGCCCGCCTGTGCCGGGCTCACGGAGCTCCTGGGAGCCGGTCCGGGAGGGCATCGGGACAGGCCCAAGGTGGAGAAGACGCTTGGAATGAGGCTTGGCAGCTGTGCTCCTTGTGCAGCGTGTCGGCTTGGTGTCGTGTGACCCCGGGCTGCTGTTGGCTGCGGGCTCTTAAATCCATTTAAGCGGTTTGCTTAAAGGTATTCCAGAAGAGATACGAACTTACACTATTTACAGACATTAGGATCGTATGTTTCATTATGTTCATTATTAGCACATGTTTCTACAAGAAAGATAGAGAAGGACTTTTTCGAGGGCCTTGTAGTGACAGGACAAGGGGGAATGGCCTCAAACTGGCAGAGGGCAGGTTTAGATTAGATACTGGATGAATGAAAATCGCTTACACAGGGGATGTGAGACACTCACACAGGTTGCCCAGAGAACCTGTGGCAGCCCCATCCTTGCAAGTGTTCAAAGCCAGGTTGCACAGGGCTCTGAGACACCTGGTCTAGTCCCTGCCCATTGCAGGGGATTGAAATGAGATAATCTCCAAGGTCCTTTCCAACCCAAAGCATTCCAGGATTCTATGATTTTATTATTATACAAGATGGATATTTAAGACCATGCACCTAAGATGATCTTAACCTTTTTTTGTCTCTTCCATTCTGCTATAGATATGCCACAGTGATGCATATGTCTACCTCTCTTAATAAATACATCATTGTCTTATTTTTGTCCCTTTCCTTCTTTTTAAACATTGTATATTCTAAACACTCAAGAGTAGTCCAAACTTACAGACTGCTACTGATTGCTCAGTTGTAGGATTTTATGAGATATCTATCCCACCTGTGGTCCCTGTGGTACTGACTGCAGTGCAAATATAGTTCAAATTTTCATTAACCATTTGAAATATTTGCAACTGTAGTAAGAGAGGTAGGAGTGTTGACTTTATTTTCTTTAATCTCACATAATAATATATATTATATATTTTGATAACTTAATTGCGAGCAAGATTGCAACTTGGTTGTATTCATGAGCTTGGTTGGAATATCTGTGATGTTGATCAAAATGTTTGGAAGCAGTATAGGAAGAACAAAGATTTTGGCTCCTAGCAGAAGGATGAAGAAAAACAATTTGGCTATAGGAATATTTGGGAATGCACTAACTTGCAAAAGTTGTGCTTATTCGCCTTTAACAGAAAGAGAAACTGAGGTTACACTTGCCTGAAAGGTCAGTCCTGCTCTTCCCCCCACCTTTGAGCACACACTTGTGCCTCCAGCCTTGCCTCACCACGGCTGGTGTGGGGGACAGGTGAGGGAGCTGATCTGTTTGTCTCAGCAGTGCACAGTGCTGCTGTGATTCCAGCTGTTCCAAAGCAGAGCAGCTGAAGCTGATGGGGAGTTGTTACCCAGGGGGTGGAATGGTCCTGGGGCTTGTCCTTTGACTTCTAGAAGAAATTCGCATATCTGGGTCACATAGATCAGTTTTGGTGCTATTGCTCAGTGTGCTTTGTAGTTTGTCACTGGTTGTTCTAGTGAGTAATGTGTTTAATCTGAGTAACTTCCAACCCTCTGCTGCCCAAGTTTTATTTGTTGTTCATGTGTTACAAAGGTTGATGATCAAGTAACACAGTAGCCAAAGTATAATTTCTGTACTGATTATCCTTTTTATGTTCAGTAATAAATGCTGTTAATGTTTATTAATCAAAACCTGATCACTCAGTGTTATTGACTGTTTCAGAAGAGTAATGATAATGGTTTTGAGGCATAATAGCAAATGTGGAATAGTTTTAGTGATTCTTTTACTGATATGGAGTGGGCTTTTGACAGTTCCTTTTAAAATGAGTGAATTCATGTCACAAAATCACTCCTGAAATTACAGTCAAACCCACTAAAAGACCCGCTGTGTTTGCAAGTCAGCAAAGGGAAACGTTGGCACCTTTTCACTCCCTGTGCAGAGCAGTATCTTCAAGCTTGTTTCAGGGCTGCTGCAGTTCTGGTGTTGCAATGTGGCTGCAATGTTTTCCTGAGAGCTGGGGAGGGCACTTGGACTCATCTGGCTGACAGCTAAGCGGGAAATGTCATTCAGTGATACCTCTCTGGTCATTCTGCTTGTGTCTGTGCACTTGTGCCACCTCTGGTGCTCTAAACTATTTTTCTTTTACTAGCATAAAACTGTTTCTGGAGGTTAATAACGCCTGACACAATGTTAATAAAGTATCAAAGAATATTTCAGTCTTTTAAAGCCCTCACCTTTCAGTATCTGTCATCTTTAAAAATATAAAAAAAACCCCAGAAATTACCCAACAAGTCATATAAACAGCTAAAAACCAGAAGTAGTTACTGATGCCAGAAAATCTCTGAAGTTGCAGTGACCTGTTAGCAAATGCATGGCCAAAACAGTAACCTTTAAATAACCAAGCTCAAGCTCCAAAAGGCTGCTGCTAAAACCATGCTGAAGAGGTGAGGCCATCCTTGTGACAACACTGTCAAGTCTTGGAGACCTCTATTCATGATGTTGACAGTATATTTGTGTCAGAGGATTTTCCAGCTGTGAGAGGCACAGGGTAGGACTGATACTGCCTTAGAGGCTTAGCAGCCTCAAAGTTTCCCTGGTTTTTGCTGTGGGCTGGAAATCCTCATGCACTCAATTCTGTATCTCTCAGCTGATGCTTGGGAACATGTTAAGCCACCATAATCAATTGTGGGTTCAACTCTGAGTGGTTTATGAGCTGTAAGTGACTCTGAGGAAACTTTCACAGAGGTGCTTGGAGGGGAATAGCGCCAGGATAATTGTAGCTCTAATGCTGGCCACAAGAGAGCAAGCTGAAGCTGTGCTGGCTGCTCAGACAGTCAAGGAAAGAGTGGGGCCAGCCATGTAAGACAGGTGGATGAAGTCTCTTAAGAGGAGAGAGCAGCGCAGTCAGAGGATATTGTATTTATGTAGGTTTTTGTCTGTTTTGGAGCATCCTCAGTTCTCATACTAGGTTATTTTGTATTCACATACTATATCATCATAATCCAAATAAGTAGATTCTGATTTGTAACATCAATCAATCTGTGTTAATTTCACAGTTGAGACATCAGGATTTGAAGGTAGTTAGGTTAACTTACACAGCCAGATATCTGGAATCTAGGCATATTTGTAGTTTGTTTCCTTAGGTTAAGTACCTAGATTGTCAATGACACAAGGAACCTTGCAAAACCTATAATCATTCTACTTTAAAAGTCCTGTCACTACAATTAAAAGAAGAAGTCTGAGCACTTTTATGGTCTTGAAGTCAGTTTTTTTTAGCACTTTACTTCTGATACACTGTCAAAGCAATCTCAGAACTCGTTTGCACAAAAAAATATGTGTAGTTCACAAGTATTAAATTATTAATTTTCTGATTAAAAGCAGAATTTCATCACTTTCACATGGAAGATTTTAAGGCTGTTGTCAAAATAGCAGAGAACGATCATCAGCCTCTCATTAGTTTTTACAATCTGATTGCATACCTCAAAGCTTCTGAAAGTGCTGAACCAAACAGCTTATTTCTAAAATACTCCCAGCAGTCTTTCATCTGATGATTTAATTAAGAGAGGATTTAAAAACAGACTTTTCCAAGTTCACTCTTCCAAGTTCTTCAATATAAAAACTGAAGTAACTCTAATGAGAGCCTTTCTCAAGGTCTTATGTTACTGTAGTTGAGAAGACAGTTTGACCTTTAATTTTCATAATTTTTCTTTCCTTAGTGCGGAACAATTTGTTGTGCACTTTGTTAGACTTTAAAAGAGAGTTAAGTTCATGTTAGTGCTAGTTTCACTTAGAAATGCAGAACTATGAGATTTGGGTTTGTCTGTTGCAGGGCAGTCACTCATATGCTCTGAATAACCAATGCACAGGTTTACTGCAGTAACTGCTTTGAATATGGGATCAGAGTTCCAGATACACATTTTGAGAAGTGGAATGTTCAGGGATCTTAAAAAATCAAGTGCTGTGTCTTACAAAACAAACATTTTGTTTGCAGTATGAAGATGGAAGCCTGGTGCCTGGATGCTGGAAGCTCTTCTGTTGGTGCCACCAAAAAGCAGGCGTATGAGGGGCTTGGAACTGCTCAGGAACTTTGGATAAACAGATGCCTCATTTGGATTGTCTTGCATTGAGCATCTTGATATAAAATCAGATTAGTGCTAATATTTCTGCCTAATGAGAAAAGGAAAAGAGAACTGCAGCAAAAACACTCTGAGTGAAGAGTCAAGAAGTCGCTCAAGTGAAGACTTACTGCCCAGTAAGTGAAGCTGAACAAGGAAGTCAGGAGAAGGCTGGAGTGATAATTATGGGCTTGCTTCTCTTTCCTGTTGGGAGTGCCCCCATGACAGTAAGTACTGTGTTTAATACTACATACAACTGATATTTTCTGGAAGATAAAACCCAGAGATTAGATTATTTTAGAGGAGTAAGCAGACCTGAGCAGGATGGGCTGAAGTATGGAAGAGGCAGCCTGCTTTTGCTCCCATGATATGGGTCTCCTGGAATGAGGGACTTGGTAATTTTGGCTGAGATAGGTTACAGCCTCATAAAGCATGTTCCATAGGCACACAACAGATAGCTGAGTGAGAGCTTGGGCAGAGCAGAACATGTCTGAGCAGGCTGGAGAAAGGAGGAAATGTATAATAACTTTGTAAGGCTCTCTGAGGCAAGAGTGAAGGTAAGGATGTTTGCTCTAAGATGCCCAGTTCGATTAGGATCTTGTCTAGGTTGTTTAATTAAATGTGTAACTCTCATGTGCTTTTTGTGCCTTTGTTCTCACTGTCATATACA